CTCTCCTCGGCGATCACCGTCGATGCTCTCTTGCTGCTGCTGCTGCTGCTGCGCCCACCGCGCCATGGCCAGTGCGCCCTGCTGATGCGGATGCAGCTGCCACTTGTGCTTCACCTGCAGCGCCTCCACCCACTGCGCATCTTTCGGCGACTGGGGATGCGTGCAGTACAGGATGGCCTGTGCAGGTGCGATGAGTTGATGTCGAAGGGATGCGTCGGCGTCGAGGTCGAGGTCGAGGTCGAGGTCGAGGTTTTGATCGAGAAAGAGGGACGCCGACGCCGAGAGCCCAAAGGGCAAAGTGATGGAAAAAAGGCGTGGATGGGCGGTTGGGAGTAGATGGCCATGCACCAAGCGATTCGACTCCTCCAACTGCTCCACCAGCGGTGCGTAGTCACGAGTGTTGAGCCAGATGAGCGACGATGCGCGAACCCTGAGACCACGTGACCTCGATGGGGGGGTTGTGGGTGTGAGTCAGAGTGTGGGTGTAGCCAGAGGAGAGGGAGATGGGCTGCGCGCAGAGATAAGCCGTGGCATGGCGCAGTGTGGATGGGTGAGAGCTCGCTTTTGGATGAGGCGCAACAGCTCCACATCCTCTGCCTCTCGACCTTTGGAGCAGCACCGAAATGAGGCAGCCTGGCGCCAGGCGAGCGAATGGCCAGCGGGTCGTACATTTAGATTGCTGAGCGGCGGCCGCGGTGAGTGGTTGGTGAGTGGGAGATGTTGGAGCTGGTGGAGTGGGGCGAGCGAGCTGTTGAATGCGCATGCGCACTCGCTGCGAGATTGGGTGGGGGTGTGGGTGGCATGGAAGTGGATGCGCGCGTCAGAGGGTCACATCGAGCGAAAGGCGTGAGTCTGATGAGTCACACAGTCACGACTCGTGACTATTCGTGATTCGTGATTCACGTGATTGCATGCAGACAGAGCGAGCGCACGCCATGCCCTCTTGCAGCACGGCAGTTTGAGTACGCGCTCGCGCTTGCGCTTGCGCTGCACCGCACTCACTCCGCCGCGCCGCTCAACCAACACTCACGACTCCTGCATGCATGACTCCAACTAACACACGCGCGCGCGCGGCCACACACGCGTCGACGCGTAAATTAAATTGGTCAAGTGAAATCACGCACGCGAGCGGGAATGCGCGCATCACTCTGACTTTTGCTTTTGACTTGGATTGCCGCGCATCGATTCATTGCCGCGCGCGCGCGTGAGATGGCGTCGCAGTCGCAGCGATCAAGTCGCGATTCGAATTGCATGGGTGATTTGTCTGCTGCTTGCTCATGCGTTTGGTTGCGCGTGTGTTGTGTGTGCGTCTGTCTGTCTGTGACTTGTCGCTCGCTGCTGCTGCTGCACGGCGGGCGGTGGAGTTGCGCGTGGGAGTGCGAGTGGGTGATGATTCAGTCAGTCACAGCAGTCAGAGTCACACTCTCACTCGCACTCACAACCGCACTCACACTCACAATCGCACACGCACTCACACTCACACTCACACTCACACTCACGAGTCTCACGCAGTCACCGTCTCACGCAACACCCTCATCCCCGTCGTCATTCCCATCGTCATCCCCCACGTCCAGCCACCAGCATTCACATTCACATTCACATTCACCTCCTCGATGACACAACATCCATCCACAACAGCCAGCGTGCCATCGCGCACACCATGACGCCACACGCTCTCCCTTTCCCAGCTCCAGCAGCAGCAGCAGCGGCGGCGGCGGCGGCAGGCGGAGCAGCAGCAGAGATGCGCCTAGAGGCAACGCCTGCCCTGCTGACCACGCTGTGCGAAGAGAGGCAGATGCGCCAGAGAGAGATCAGGCAAGCGTGCGCAGGTCGCAAGAGCAACATCATCACTTTTCCAATGGCGGCGGCGGCGGCGGCGGCGGCCAGTGTCAATAATGCGACTGCGAGTGCGAGTGCGGGAGTGGGAGTGGGAGCTGAGGAGAGGGCAGCTCATACGCTTTGCAGGCTCTTGGCCAGCGTGTTTGTGGTGCCGCTGTGCGATTGGAAGAGCCAGTCGCCTGGTGAGTCGGTCGACTGTGGGGGGATGGCGGCGATATCATGGCTAATGCTGGCTGATGCAGTGCACGCACTCACACCCACACACCCACCCACTCGCTCCCGCAGCCAGCATCGTGCGTGGCAATAATGATCACGATGCGCATGCTGGGCAGCAATCACCCAATGCTGCTGCTGATGCTGCTCCTCCTGCTGATGCAGTGATGGATGTGCTGGGAGCGCTGCGACTAATCGGTCATCAGCTGCATCTCCATCCTCTGCTGCTCAGACACCGCTTCAACTCCAAGCGCATACAGTCAGCAGCATCTGATGCTGATGCTGATGCTGATGCTGGTGCTGGTGTGGCTGCGGCTGCGGCTGCGGCTGCGGCTGTCGATGATCGAGCGACGGCACAGCAGGCATCGATATCCCCATCCACACTGGATGCGTCCATGGACAGCACATCATTCGCAACTTGGCTCTCACCTCGACTCATGTGCGCAGCTGCCTTGCTCTCCGTGCGCTTCCCAGGGGATGCCGCGGCGGTCAAGGTTCGCCACGCCATGCTGGATCTGCTCCTTCGCATGGCCCGCTTGCAGTGCCACAACTCGCCTGCCAGTCACCACGCCAGGTTCTGCTTGCTCGACTGTCTCAAGGCGGCCATCGATGGTGAGTTCGAGTCGAGTCGATTAGATGCGTCGGCAAGATCATCGATCGAAGCGCCCTTCATCCCCTTTCGACTGACGAGGATCGCTTTCGCGCACAATTAGTCTTTGCGTCGGCCAGGTGCGCTCCCTTTGATGCGCGCGAACCGCCAGATGCCAGCCTGCTGCTGCCTCCTCAGGACCAAGCGGCAGGCGCGTTGCAAGCCGCAGCACGGCCGGCAGCTGAGAATGGCGACGAGGTGCTGCTTCGCTTCTTTGTGCAACCCATGACGGATCAGTGTCGACCTGCGAACGCTTTGTTGACAACCTTGGGCGATGGCATTGTGCGGACAGTGAGTGCGGTCGTGCGGTCGTGCGGTCGCGCAATTTGCCTACGCTCTTTGCCCACTCCTCTCCCTCTCCCCCTCTGCGCGCGCAACCCAGTGGGGACCAGACGATCGGTCTCCCTTTTCGCGGGCCATTCCCCGCTCTGCCGCAAGCGATGTCGGTCACGCCCTCTTGTCCGTCACCACGCAGACCATCACAAGGCTTGCGCGAGCTTTTCCAGATCTGATGACCGACTTGAGCTTCACTGCGACATCGCTGCTCCTCAGCGCCAGCAGTTCACATCAGCGCGACGCCGAAGTCTTCTGCACAGCGGTCGAGCCTACACGTGCCGTGAACGTGCTGGTTGCGAGGCTGCAGGCCATTCAGCATGCCCTGGCATTGCGCGCCGTGCTTCCTCCAACGCACACAGCTCGGCTGGTAGCTTTGCTATCGCCGCACGTCGTCAGTCTCCTCCTCTCACCCGCAACTTTAACCATCGAAGAGAATGCGCGGGAAGCAGCCTCCTTTGCTCCTCTCTACGCCTTGCGAGAGTGCTTGCGCGTCTTGCGCCGGGAGACGATGCGAGAGGATGCCAGCGTCGAGATGCAGCAAGCCGTGCGACAGTCGCTGAGCGACCTCACAATTCGCATCGCATCCACCCTGCTATCCAGCGATGACCAGGAGGAGGAGGAGGTCGACGTTGGCGGGGCAAGTCTCAACCCGCAAGACAAGCAGGTGCTGGATGCGCGCGCCGTTCGAAAGGTCAGTCGAGCCAATCGTGCTGAAAATGGCCGATCTCTCTAACATCAAGCGTTCCCACCTACCCCACAGCTGTGCCTGTTCGACGCCCTTGTAGCCTTGCTCGCCACCAGCACCCAGAGCTCTCCACTTTCAGCAACGGAAAGAAGGCGGCTGCGAGAGCAAGCATGCGCTAATCCGCACCTCGCCGAGTCGAACGAGGATCGCCCAGCGACACTGTCCTTGGCTAACCTGATCACGGACTCGGATCGTCACGCGTTGGACAGCCTCTTGACGGAGCATGCGCGAGCTGCGCAAGGCAAGCGAGGTGCGCACCACCAGAGAACACCACCGTCGTTCAAGAAGCGCGCTCTTGCCACCGGTTCTGCGGCTACTGCGTGCGAAGGACGTGCGCATGGATGTCGTCAAGCTACTCGGGACGATGTCGACGAGCTGCTGCCTGCCGGTACGAGCTCTAGTCAGGGCCATCCCGGCGGGCTCGCGCGATTCGGGCCAAGTGACTGGAAGCGCCTTGCGGCTTTAAAGTGTCTAGGCGCCGAAAGCCTAAAGAGACACCAAGAACGCTTGTGGTGCCCTCGTTGTCAGGACGACACATCGCTGCCTGACAGCGATATTACCCGGGACGTTTCTGCCTCTGACTCTGACGCCTCCTTCAGAGTCATTGGCGTCGCGCTCACCACATCTGCCCCCTCGACTTACAACGCGGCATCTGCCTTGTGCGCTCTGCGCAGCGTCATCATTCATTCTGATGGGACAAAGCTGATCGAGTATGCCGACGGGTCCTTTGACGTATGGCTAATGCTAGTCAGTAGACATCTCTGTGACGACCAACGATCCGCTCGCATTCAAGCCGGGTGAGTTGCCAAGGCGGGTGTTGCACATCTCGGTACCGAGCTTAGCATGATGGTGTGCTTCTTTCTGCTGCAGAAAACTTGCCGCCACACTGATCGGCTTCTTTTGCAAAGAGATGACGAGCCTCGATAGTCTGCTCAAATGGGTCAGACACATCCTCGGCATCCTCATCCAGGCTGCCGACACACCAGCAGACAAGCCAAACGCCAGCAAGGCGGTAGAGTCTGCCATTCTGGCGCTTGGTCGTGCAGCGCGGTGAGAGCTCTTGTGGCAGGGGGGGATCCTGCGAGCAGACGTGCTAATTTGCGTCATTCTGCTCGCAGCGTTGCCCGAGACGAGGTGCTGCACCGCATCTTGTTGAGCTTGGTCCAGCACCTCAATGCTCCGGAACCCCTTCGATCGCTCGTTTACCTGCAAGTCAGTACGTACGTCGCCATTGTCGAGTCTGATCACATTTCTCACTTTCTTTGGACCCTTCTGCTCAGATCACCGAGCTGGCACTTCACAACAACGTGACTACGTACCAGCTACTAAGTCCAGCTATGGGCGCCATCAGTGCTCACGTTGTGCAGCGCATGTTTACAGCACCAACGCTGCTCGAAGAGCTTCTCGCTCTGCTCAATCAGCAACTGGGCAAGTTTATACATGCAACGCTTCCCCACACGCTACCTCTTGCCATCCAAAAGGGCAACGATCGCCTCTTGGCCGGCCTCGCAGCTGCGATCAAGCAATCCGAACGCGAAATGTGTTTCGAGCATGCTGGCGCAGCTCTCAAGCACTTTTTGCTCCTACCCGCTCCTGCTCGCGACGAAGCCATTCAGCGTTTCGTCATCATCATCCGCGGCGCGACAGACAAGGCGACGCTCGAGAACAGCACGCGCCTGCTATTGAAGAGCTTCAAACCTCAATTGCTGGGCCACTTGGTCATTCACCTTGGAGACGAAGCCTGCAGGCAAGCGGCAATCGAGGGACTCTCGTATCTAGAACGCTCACGAAGCAAGAGCGAGAGCACCTCCGCAAGCGCACGCGATGCTTCAGCTGCGCTTTCGACTTTTTTGCGCGACGACATTTTGGAAATTTTGGCGTGGCTAAACGACGAGCTTGCAGGCGCGCACGGAAAGACGACGCTGGCTCAAAAGATCAGGACTGCGCGCAGCATAGGTGCGCTGGTAGATGCTGTGGGCCAGTCCATCGCGTCCGTCACTCCTCAGATCATGGCGACGCTCAATTCGTCGATGCAGCTGGACGAACTGGTGCTGCCCACGCTGCTCTCGTGGCAAGCCTTCATCACCAAGATGCGCTTCGAAGACGTTGCGCCCTTTGTCGGACAGACCGGCGCGTCTCTAGTCGCAGCATGGCCGCGATTCGGCGCTGCGGAAAAGGAAGTAGCTGGGAGCTTGTTGAGATACATTGTCATCGACAGTGGCGCCGAATTTGCGTCGTACCTCGAGAGCGACTTTCCCAACCTTGATACGCTGGAAGAAGAGCTGCCTGACCTCAGCAGTGCTGTGCGTCAACGCCAGCGCAGCGCACCCGGCCTGCGCATCGGCAGGGTGCTGGAGCGAGCTGCAAGCGAAAACGCTAGCGTCTCCTCTCAGGGTCTCCAAGAGCTGAAGCGCTTCTTGACCCGCGAGACGGACTATGTCCGCACCATCACCAGCGGCAACATGTTTGACCCCGTCGTCGGCAGATTGGTCGACGTGCTTTTCAGCGCGGCTTCGAAAGCTACGGAAGGTCAAGCTGACGTGCAAGATGTATGCTTTGAGAGTTTGGGCATTCTAGGAGCAGTGGATCCCGATCGTTTCGAACTGCCAAGTCACGAGGACACCTACATTGTCTTGCGCAATTTCGAAGATCGAGACGAGAGCATCGATTTTTGCGTCCACCTCATTCAGCGTACCCTCGTTGGGGCCTTTCGCGCCTCGGAGGATACTCGACATCAGGCGGCTCTCGCGTATGCTATACAGGAGCTCCTCAAATTCTGCGGATTCACACCTGCGCTGCTGGCCACATCGAGCTCCAAGCCCGTGGCCTTGCGTGTTCGTCAGCGCTGGAACGAAATGTCTAGCGAGACTTTGGAGGCGGTCGGTCCTCTGCTCAGCTCCAAGTACACGGCGCAGATGGGCGAGCCCACTCGACGGGAGCGTCCCGTCTACCTCAATTCGTCGAGCTTCCGCGATTGGATCCAGACGCTGGCCAATGAGCTCATCTTGGATGCCCAGGGCATCGAAGCCAGCAGCATCTTCACGATTTTGCGCTCCGTCATCAAGGACCACGACTTGTCCATCGCGCGTCACATTTTGCCGCACTTGGTGCTGCACACGCTCATCTCCGGAACGGAGGAGCAGCGACAGTACATTCATGCAGAGATCTGCTCCATCCTCGAGGACCAAGTGACGCCGAGGACGGAAATGGATAGCGAACGGCGTCTGTTATCGGCCCAGGTCATCTTCGGACTGCTCGACCACATCAGCTTGTGGACGCGACGCAGAAACGAGACGAGAAAGTACGCCAAACCGCGCGAAGCCGTGCCAGACAATGCGGTCAATCACGTTTCCACAGTGATTGGCTGCATTTCGGTCGAGCTCATGGCACGAGCGGCTCTGCAGTGCAAAGCGTATGCGCGCTCTCTACTGAACTTTGAGCGCCGCGTGCGGGATCTGAAAGCCAGCGGCACCAAGGAGCTCGACCTGCAAAATTACTACGAGGACATGCACTTCATCTACTCGAATCTCGAGGAGCCAGATGGCATGGAAGGCATCTCTACGAGCGTCCTGGCCCCATCGCTGGAGCATCAAATCAGAGAACACGAGAGCTTGGGTCGTTGGACGTCTGCTCAAAGCTGTTGGGAGGTGAAGCTGCAAGCTCATCCGAGCGAGCCGGATCTGCACGTTGGGCTGCTTCGCTGCTTGCGCAACCTCGGACACTACGACACCATGCGGACACACATTCGCGGAGTACTCAGCGCCCATCCCGAGTGGCGTTCCATGCTGGCATCGTACGAAGTGGAGGGCGCTTGCATATTGGCTGACTGGGATGCGGTCCGCTCCGCGCTGGCTCTCGAAACGCACCAAAGCGATGCGCATGCCATGGCTCGCATCGCGCTCGCCATGCATGACCAGGATCCAGAAGCCATGCACCAGGCTATGCGCGAAGCGCGGCGTCTTGTCGGACGTCCGATCATCGCAGCAGGTGTAGGATCGTACGCTCGTGCATATGACTCGGTATCGCAACTGCACATGATTCACGAGCTGTTCCTCATCCAACAGCAGGACGAGAAGAACGTGCTATCTACAGCTACAGCAACCCAACGCGGCCAACGCGAGCAAAATCAGCACGCCTTTTCGGCTCACATGCTGCAGCGCCTCAACGCCACCTTGCCATCTTTCCGCACTCGCGAACCTCTGCTGAGCTTGCGACGATCGGCTTTTGCGACCCGTGCGATCGTCGACCCTGTGTCCAGCGCGCTGATTGGGCAAGCTTGGATTCAGACGGCCAAAAACGCGCGACACGCAGGACACGACCAGACGGCTTACAGCGCCGTCTTGCAAGCTACGCAGCGCAACGTGCCGCTCGCATTTGTTCAGCGCGCCAAGCTGCTAGCGCTGGATGACAAGAAGCAGACGGCCGTGCAGGAGCTTACGAGCGCTCTGGCAGCGGTTTCCGACTTGAGTGCAAACGCGACTCGCACGCGCTCGCGCTCGCAGCAAGAAGACAGTGTGCTGGGCGACCCTACCGATCCGAGCGGTCCCGACAGAAAGTCGCTCGCTCGAGCACATCTTTTGCGCGCAAGACTGATCGAAGAGACTGGCAGATACTCGCCGAATGAGGTCATCGAATCGTACAAGCGAATTGCCGAGGTGGAGAGCGCATACGAAAAAATGTGGTACTGCCTTGGACGCTACTACGACACCAACCGGGACAATCTGGTCAACGATCTCTGGTGCGATTATTACGTCTGTCGGTACTACATGAAGTCGGCGCAGAGTGGCACCAAGTACTTTTACCGTACAGTGCCTCGCATGATGACCATCTGGCTCGATGTCGGCGACGATCCGGTTCTGATCAAAGCTGCCGGCAAGCAATTGTGAGTCGTGTCGTCAGACGCTGAACGTGAAGAAAGATTGAGCTGACGCTGTCTTTCACTGCGTCACTGTGCAGTACCAAGAGTACAGATCCCGAGATCTACCACAAGACGGACACCTTTGAAAAGATTTCGTCGGAGCTGCGCAAGGCGAGCTCACGCCTTCAACGCTACCAGATCCTCGCGGTGCTTCCGCAACTGCTGTCCCGCGTCGTGCACAAGCATCCCAGCGTCTGGGGCACTCTGAGCGAGATCATCTTGGCAGCGGTAGACGTTTTTCCCCATCAATCGCTGTGGGCGATGATGGCTGGCTTTCAGTCAAAGGATCCCGAACGCAAGAAGCGTTTCATGGATCTGGTGAAGAAGCTCAAGGTACGATTTGGTAGCTCTCGTCGTACCATCGTGATTTGACGTGTGCTGACACACCTTCGTCGTGCTCCCCCTTTTCTCACATCACAGAGCGGCGTGGGTGCGAGAGCAAAACGCATCAGCGCCATCGTAGAGGCTTCACAGAAGATGGGCAAGGAGCTGCTCTTCCTAGCGGACGCGCCTGTCAAGTCCAAAGAGACGCAGCTCAATCTTCCTTTGCAGTTTCCCAAGCTGCAGGCTTTGGCTGACAGCGGCTTGATACTGCCGTTGCAGTCATCGGTGGTGGTAAGCTTGCCAGGCAATGGTCAGATTCCTACAGACTACGATCCCTTTGGAAGCCCCAACGGTCTTCCTCGTCTCAGTGGTGAGTCGAGATCACCACGTCTACAGCACAAGCTGGGGACTCTGCCTGACTTGGCTTTCTTTCATCGCGCCGCAGGCTTCGATGCGACGATCGATATCATGCCTTCGTTGCAGAAACCGCGCAAGGTGATCATGCTGGGCAGCGACGGCAAGCGCTACCCATTCTTGTGCAAACCCAAGGATGATCTTCGCAAGGATGCTCGTCTGATGGAGTTTGATTCGATGATCAACAAGCTGCTTCAGGCAGATTCGCAAGCGCGTCGGCGGAGATTACGTGAGAATAGTGCATTTTACAGGTACCGCTTTGGCGAGCGAAGCTCATCTTCACAACCTTCTCTATGTGCTCCGTCAGATATTCGCACTTACTCTGTGATTACGCTCAACGAAGAATGTGGGCTCATCGAGTGGGTGCCAAACACCATTGGTTTGCGTCACATCCTGCAGAAAAATTACGCCCGTCGAGATATTCCGCTTTACGTGCGTGCCGTCCGGATCGCTCATCCACTTGCAGGGTACTCAGACTCATGGAGCCGATTCCTTCTGCACGGCAACAGACGCACGACCTCAAAGTCTTGCTCGACGAAGCACGAAACAAGCCACGTAAAGCTGCGGACATCTTCGAAAAGCAGGTCTTGTCTCGGTGAGACAATTAGGAGCGCTGGTCGGATTCTGACGACGCGTGCTGACCGAAACGTTCGTTGACCTCTTTGCATCACCAAAGCTATCCATCCGTATTCCACGAGTGGTTCATTGCGACTTTTCCCGAGCCCTCCGCTTGGCTCAAAGCGCGTTCGGCTTACGCTCACACGCTCGCAGTCATGTCCATGGTCGGCTACGTGCTTGGGTTCGTGCGACGGATGTTCGTGCATTTGATTTTCCGATCTGACCTGTCATTTCGTTCTTCGTGTCCAGACTTGGTGACCGACACGGCGAGAATATACTATTCGACGCAAGCAACGGCGACACTGTCCACGTGGACCTCAATTGTCTTTTCGAAAAGGTGCGTTCGTCCTGTGCCAAGATTCGCGGGAGCTACAGTCCTGAATGATAGTTGCGCCCCCCTCGCAGGGCCTCTCGTTCGAGATCAAAGAAGTCGTGCCCTTTCGATTGACTCACAACATGGTGGATGCGCTGGGTGTGACCGGCGTCGAAGGTCAGTTTGCCCTTCTTGATTGCGAAGAAAAGCGATACTGATTCTCGACGCTTGCGACCGCGTCTTTAGGAGTCTTTCGTCGCGCGGCCGAAATTTCCATGCGGATCCTGCGAGACAACAGAGACTCGCTGATGAGCGTGCTCGAGGCCATGATCCACGATCCGCTCGTAGAGTGGGCTGTTGACAGCGCCCCCAAAAGCAAGGTGCGCTGCGCGTCCCTATGCGACAAAATCTGTGGCTCTGACTCAATGTATCGGAATCTCATGCACCTCTGTTCGCATACACAGGCTGGTCAAGATCCGCGCCTTGCGGCAGCTCGCAAGGCCCTGAGTCCAGTGCAGTCCAAGTTGGACGGCCTCCTTCGCTCTCACGACAGGTGGACCGGCCCTCACTCCGTCAACAATGCCGTCGACACGCTGATTCGAGACGCGACTAGCTCGCAGCTGCTTGCTTCCATGTGTGAGTTGCGATGCTAATCCTCGGGCCGTAGTCTCCTGCCGAAGCGTTTTTCTCACTCACGTTGAATGTTTGCGATCCTAGATGTTGGGTGGGCCAGCGTGAGTAGCCTCAAAATCACTACTTTTGTCGAAACGATGGCTAACTCGACATGTCCGCCTCCCTCCAGTACCTTTGATCTCCACAACTTCGGCCTTCAGGTCATCACACTTCAAATAGCGACGCGACGCGCCTCGCCTCGCCTCCATTGCCAGACTACCATGTGCACACTCACCTGCGAGGCTCGCCATCTGCAATGTGATGACGTCCATCCCGTGTATCTGCGAAGGCGAGCACGATTCGTCCAGTGTACGCCTCAATCCGCTTGCACTGTGACTTTGCGAGTGCTGCTGGGGGTCAGCCCAGCTTTTCAAGACTCTTTGAGACTGCCTGCAGCTCGGTCTGTGGGGTTCAATGTACTCAGAATCAACGAACATGTTCTCGTGCATCGGGTGCGCTTCAATTTGACGACGTCGTGACGGGTCAAGTGGTCGTCACAGCAGCTGGCGCCGCACTTTCCACGCACCCAAATTTTGCACATCTCGGAAGGACAATCTTTGCAGCCTTGCTGGTCACAGATGCAACTCATCCTTTGGATGCCATGCCAGACATCCTCTTCATCTGGATCTCAAAGTCATGTCATCAAAGATGCTGACTCGTCTCAAGGCTGCATTTGTCGGCATCATTGCAGACAATGATGAGCAATCCATCAAGGAAGTTCTGCGTCCTCTCCTGGGCAACGCCGTGGACACTAGTCCCAACATCACGGTCAACGTTGTGTATGCGCGCATTTTTGGGATCCATTGCCTAGATCACCAATTGGCCTGGGCAGAGGCGCATGAGGACTTGACCAGATGGGCCAGCGCTAGAGCTGGTGTGTGGGTCTTGAAGGCAGCCATCAGCAAGTACGGGCAAGGTGCCAGGTCTCGGCTAGTCTATGTTGGCCTGACTACAGACACAGCAATGGGCAGAGCGCATGCAGACTGCGCAAGTACGGGCAAGGTGCCAGGTCTCAGCTAGTCTATGTTGGCCTGACTACAGACACAGCAATGGGCAGAGCGCATGCAGACTGCGCTAGAGTGAGTGCGCAATGGTGATCACGCTATTGATAGTGGGGGGAAGTTGGATGCATTGAAGGCCCCCTGCGACCAGGCGGACGCATACATGAGCGGCGCGCGCACAACGGTAGAAAATGGCAATTGAGCCACTCTTGCTGACCATTTTTTATTTTGTTTTGGCGCAACTACAGGCTTGCGACCCCGCCCAGCCCCAGTCATATTTAAAATTCCTCTTGCAGGCCAAAAAGGTTCGTGCGGTGGACACGCAAGTCATCAACCTCTTTGTGCTCCCTAAACACCTCAGCTCGGAGGAATTGCACACCCTGGAGCACATGGTCATCAAGACCTACGGGGTGATGCGGCTTGCAAACACCTCGCCTGGGTCTGCAGCCACTCGAAGACTAGAAGCTGGCCAACGTCCAGATTGGATGGGTGCTGATCTGTTGCTCTTGGAAGAGATGGACTTTGCCTCTTGGGACATGCCCAGTGGCTTGCATGTCCTCTCACCAGTGTCCACGGATCCAGCCCTCCTTCTGACACTGACTAGGACGCAAATCAGCATCCAAGTTGGGGCTGAAATGGTCACCAAGTCGCTCATGTGGCTAGCTGATCTGGGCCTTCATCACGTCACGTTGCGGGTGGAGTCACTGCAATTGGCCAGCGTTGAAGACTTGGGAGAGTGGCTTGCAGAAGCACTAAGATATCGGACAGCCATTCACATCGTTGGAGGGGAGGACTTTGCCAACTTTAGACGCTTCATCACCGCAGCTGGCTGCACCCTTTGCACCCACGCAAGTTTTGCACATCTAGGCAGAACAATCTCTGCAGCCTTGCCAGTCGGGTATGCAACGCATCCCTTGAATGCTGTGCCAGACATTCTCTTTGTCTGTGGTCTGTGCACCTGGCCAGTCTCAATTGTCACTAGTCTTTCCCTCTTGGTACCCATTGGGCACTTGCCCACAAAGATGGAGCACCAAGAGGTAATTGCTTGAATGTTTGCAGCTGCTGCGCATCTTGTTGTAGCAGATTCTGCACTTGCCTTTCAGCACAAGAACTTGACCCTTCCCTTTGTCCTGCGCTGTGCGCTCGATGGTCCTGCTGGTCAGAATATCAATGGCCGCTTACAGTTCCACTTCAATGACAACGGCACCAGCAGTCTGGATGCTAGTCAAGATTTAAATCAGTCTTACAAACTTGGCCTAATAGTCGACTTTCAGGCAGCAGCTCAAACGACCCTCTGAAGCATTGTGGTACAAGATGAGCAACGCTTTTGCTGCTTGACCGCTTCATTTTGACCCAACCAACCTTGCAGCAGTGTCTTGTCTGCAAATCTGTCGCTGGCAGCACGCAGAGGCAGGTGCTACAAAGCTAGCTTTGTTGGTGATTGTCTTGCGCGGTGCTTGCCTCGGCAGACGCATTGTCCACAAGGCCAAGATTGAGCTGAGTCTGGCAGCGGCCAATTCAGACCGCTCCAAAAGATCTGCTCCAAACGCAGCAATGACTGCAGCTGCTTCTTGTCCGCGTGTTGCAGAGCCCCTTGGCAGGTCCCACTTGAGACACCTGACCTAGCGAATTACGCCAGGAGAGCAATGACGTGCTACCAAGCAGAGGTCTAAGTCTCAACAATCAGACGACCATCAAAGTCAAAATATTGAATGGCTAGGGTTGTAGTCTTTTGAACAAAGGATGACATGATATGGCAGTGCCCTGAAGATAATTAGTTGAATCTTGTACGCGTATGGGATGCTGAGAGGTCACCAAGAGAAGATAGAGAGGAGATCATGCAGGTCTAGGTGAATTGTGGTGCAGGTATACACACTCTACAAGCTTACATGTGTGCGCACGCAAGCAGGCACAGAGGACTGCGGCCTAGTCCCTTACCTAGGCTTCTACTACAGCACTGGCTTGAGACCGCCCCTTGTGCAATCCTCCTGCCACAACGCAAGTAGAGGGCTTCCCATTGTAGACCAACAATGACAGTGAGCATGTGCATTCACTGGTACTTGACCTGTTTGGTCAAATCATCTTCCAAAATCTCCTGCAACTGGAAGATCTGCTTGGACTGGAGCGCTGTGGGCCTGCAGGGCTGTGGATGCAGTGGTTACATGTGCCTGGATGCACAGGAATTAGTAAACATTGTTGAGGGGCAAGATCTCCCTGGTCCAGCTCCAGCGTGCTCATGTAGCATGCAAACTCTTCTTCAGGGGCAGCTGGCCCTGCTTGTGATGCAAGTTCAGGCTTTGCCATGCCGCTGGTCAGTGGAGGTAGAGATGGCGGAGACAGCGGAGACGGCAGAGACGGGAGACATGGAAGAGACCACAGACATGGGGCTTCAGAAGGCGGCAGAGAGCATGGTGGAGGGGCAGGCGGAGGGATTGGTGGAAGCGGTGACTGAGAGCTCAGTGGAAGTAGAGGCTGCAGAGACAGCAGAGACACCAGAGACGGCGGAGACAGCAAAGATGCCAGAGACGGCGGAGACGGGAGACACGGAAGAGGAGACAGAGACAGCAGGCCCGGAGGAGGAAGAGTTGGGAGGTAACAAGCAAGAGAAGAGTACTGCGGCAAGCAGAAGCGCCCCAGAGACTAGCTTGGAGGTGGGGAACACCTACAAGTTTGCCAGGCATTACTGGGGGGATGAGGCTCTAGGAATCTGGCCTTCTTCCTCCTGGCCTTCTTCCTCCTCATCAGCATGAGATGGCCCTTGCGGGTGAGTGATACATCCATGTCACATGGCAGCTGGCCCTGCTTGTGGCGCAAGCTCAGGCTTTGCCCTGCTGCTGGTCCCTTGCAAGGGATCTCCACCTGCTGGGTGTTTGCTGCACCCAACTGTACTTGTGGTCTTGCCACCTGTGTGAGAGACTTGAGCGCCAATTGGACAAGAGATCATTGGCGCTGTCAATGTTGCAGTTGTGAGCATGTCCGGCAGGGCAAGGGCATAAGACCAAAGCAGTATTGGGAAACCACTTGAACCACTTGCAGTCAACCATTTTGCATAGTTGCGGTGTATTTTGGAGGCTCCGTTCCCATAGAAGTAGATGGAAGGTGAGCCAAGTTGAGCAGCCGCTGTGTTGTAGGTGACAGATGACCAGAACACCACGGAAGGAGTTCTGTGATGCAAGGCTCAGATGAGGTGGCGGTCCCTAGCACAACCAAACGTGTGCGGGAGAGCGAGGTGGCAGCACCCCGCTCTCGAGTGGACTCTGCAGCCGTAATGTCCAGCAGCAATTGCACCCGTGCCAAGTTAAACAATCTGGATGAAGCGAACAAGCACGGCAGAAGGCATGCAAAGGAAGAGGCCGGGGGAGAAAAGCTGTTGACCTGTTGTACAAAAAAGGTAGCCTGGTGGGCAGCTCGTTTGGTCGTGGCTTTACGATCAGGTCTCTCCAAGAGCAAGATCAACGAGCTGCAGGCTACGGAAACCATCCAAAGCAAGGGCAGCAAGTGGAGGATTGTTGAAGGCAGGAGCGAGGTGAAGAGCGCCGAGTCTCTCACAGCCATTGTAAGGATGCGCTGGGAGAGAGCTGCCCCAAGTGCAGCATCGACAAGTCTGGCGAGCGTCAGCAGGATAAGTGGAGCAGCCTATCCTGATCAACTACTGGACTGGCCAAGTCTGAGCCATCTTCAGGTTGATTGGGAGAGGCCTGCCTTCATTGCTGCTCACCAAGGCACTTGTCCCAAGCTCACATTTGCTTTTCTGCAAGAAGAGCAGGATGCTGGAGGTGCTGGAGGTGAGGAGGAAGTGGAGCTGCCCGCATCGTTCATCATGCGCCTTCCAGCAAAGGTTGTTGCTGTATGCTGGAATGTTGTGTGCAGCTAGGCTGGAATGGACTCCGCTGTGCATCTTGGTTGCCTGCACCGTTGCAAGCAGAAAGGATGGATCTACAAAGGGTCTTTCCAAACCCCCAGCAGTTTCTTGCTTTGGGCTTGAGCATGCGCATCTGCAACCCTGTGGGTGACGGGCATTGCGGTTTCAGAGCAGTGGCCCATCACATTCTCGATTCAGAAGAAGAGTGGCTGGTGGTGAGTGCTTGTGGGAGGGCACACTTCATTGACCGCGGATGAGCACGCTCTGCTAACCTCATCTCTGCCTTGCATATTTGACAATGGCTAGCTGCTGAAGCACATGTGCACGCACACGCCTGGAAGCGTACATAACGAGCTCGCACAGGTCTGGTAAGATCTAAGACTGGCAAACTTGCCTGTTGTGGATTGAGTTGCTGAATTGTCAGGTCCATTGTTCACTGACAATGCTTGTGTACTCATTTCAATTTTTTATATTAACCCAATGTGCTAAAGAACCAACACTGGACACTGCTCTTTGCGGGCATGTTGAGCCTTCTAGTGAGTGACACGCAGATTGTACAATCATTTTGGAGTCACTTTTGTCTGACCATTGTGTTCTCTGTCAGATCACGCTGCGTCGCCAATTGTCCCAACTCAGTGGCTGCAAGCACCTCAGTCTCTGGGAACACCTCAGTCTTTGCAACCACCTCAACTGTTCGACCCACGTCCACCCTTTGAACCACGCCAGACTACTGAAGTTTTGACAATTGTCAGGCACAGATTTGAGTGGCAGCCCCACCACAATTTGAAGCTGGTGCTATGGATCGCTCAAGAGTGGGAACAAGTCGATTACTTTGTGCGCTGCCGATACAATACGGACGACATTGTACCTCCCACTACATGGGGTGCACAGGCCCACATTTCTGTCTTTGGTAGTCAAGGCTGGCTGACTGCCAGTGAATGTCTCGACGTCATCCGCCCTCACGCAAGGTTCTTGGCGCTCAATGCCGCCTCTCATGACCAAGCGCTCTCTGTACATGCCAAAATTATGCCCATCTCGTTGTTGCAAGCCTACTACAAGCTCGCTATTATCAACTAAGATCATAAAATGGGCAGCAAAGAGCAGGTGAGCATCGTCCGCTGGGCAGTAATAAGGCTGGCCGAACGTTCCGCCAGGAGGTCTGTGTAGAGCATGCATACATGTACTTAGCAGTGGAGCATCCTAACCAACTGCGTGTGACGTTCAATCTGCATCTCCAGTAGAAGTGCACATCTGGGGTGATGTTGGTGGTGAGGCTGGACTCTTTGAGCTGCAATTCTTGCAGCAAAAAGCACCCAGAGTTGATGCCAAGCAGTAGGGACTTGCTTGGTGCCAAGTAAGGCGCCCATGCAATCTTGCTGACTTGCGCAATGCCTTGAAGTGCTAGTTGCCCATTGACGGCGCCAAACAAGCTGAGGGACTTTGTTTCTAGGAGGGGCTATTGCTCTGTCCACAGGACTTGAAGCTCCTGCCTCAAATACACATTGGGCATGTTGGCAGCATGCTTCTCCAACGCCTTTGAAAGCTTTGCTGTGGCTGCTTTGACTTTTTGCTTCTTCCACATGCGCTGTTCCTCTGCGTCAAGGTCCTGCTCAAAGTCTGCTGGCCCATTGCAACACTTGCTGACTCTCAGGTCAACCTCATCCAGAGAGTTGTGGAGGAAGATGGTGAGAAAGTCGTGAAATTACTTGCCAAGCTGGCCTCAACAGCGCTCTGGACGCTTTGGACGTTGCATGTGTGTCAGTTTCAACGGTGCAAGTCAGCACCGTTACCTCGTTAGTCACCTCGCTGCACTCCGCCTTGCAACGCTTGACAGGTACAGCCAGTCTGCTGACTGCAGAGGTTGCCCAGCTCAGCACCTATATCCGCACGGATCTTGCCCAGGAGCTCCACCTCCGCACCGACTCAAGAACCAAACCGGTCGCGACCGACCGCAAGCACAGGGCCGCTTGAAGGCGCAAATGGCGATTTCTTGGAGCAGGAGAATCCACCACCGTAGGCGGCAGGTGTTCGGACCACATCTTTGTACATCCTTGTACAGACGCTTTCCAGCGAAGTTGAGCACTTTGGATTGACAGGAGAGTTCCTCAAAGTCAGCATAAAGCGCTCCTTGCAACTCAAAAACTGCCTCTGCTAGTTGCCAAAAAGCCTTCACCCTGGCTTCAGCATCTCAAGCCAGTCATTTGGTGTAGATCAGTCTGCAGACGCACGAAGCTGGCAACCGCAACATCAACAGACAGATGCGCAAGTGGGACAAATGGCAGATGATGCCCACAAGCCCGCCAACACCTCCAATCTCGTCCAACTCAGGATGTTGGAAATCTGAGGACGGTTGGAAAAGTCTTTTTGCAGCCCTTGGAGGTCTGCTCCCTCAATGCTCAGCAGCTTGGACATGCAAGCTACAAGCCAGCCTGGGCAGATGGCAAGGAGCGCTTGACTTGCTTTTGCTTTGTCAACTTCTTTAGGGAAATGGGTCCGGAAAAGAAATTGAATGACCTGCCCACTGACAAGAGAAGAAAGCTAGAAGGAGCTGCACAAGAGGTCAAAGAAGCCTGGAAATGTCCCTGACTTGACCAAGCAATCTCAACCTCACACTGAAGCAGCTGCACATCCATACTTGTGACTGTTGCAGCTTTGCATACCCTGTGACCTCTTCTACCTGTGAGGTCATTGGTGGTTCTCAGCTTCCATGCCCCTTCCTCTTCCTGCTTGGTGCTCTGGGCGGACCAGGGAACCTGCCATGTTCATGGTCCATCTCTGCCTTGCACTCTGACCAGTCATCCAATCTTTCCTGCTCCAGATATCACTCGGGCATGTGGTTATGCAAAGCCCCTCGAGCGCCGTTTCCATCTCCCTTTTGGCCCTTGCCAAGTCTTGTGAATTGCTTGGCAATATGCGCAGTCATCTCCAAGCAACACTTTTTCTGCTGCGCATCTGCAATTGGTGCTGCCTCTTGGAGCGCTAGCTGCTGCATCTGACTGTTTTGCAAAGGTTTTGCTGCTAGATGTTGCGCTTCCAAGTAGGCCTTCATCCCTTGGCACGCATGCTCAAAGCCCTCCAGTCAAAGCAATGCCCATCAATCATGGTGCTGCAT